CAGCAGCACCACCAGCTCCGGCAGCTCTAGTACCTCTAGTACGAGCACCTCCAGGATCAGCAGCTCCAGCACCTCCAGTACCTCCAGCTCCAGCTCCAGCGCCTCCAACACAAGCAGTACCTCTAGCACCTCCAGCAACAGCAACACCAGCACCTCCAGCACCAGCTGGACCTCCTGGACTAGCAGCTCCAGCACCTCCAGCACCAGCTGGACCTCCTGGACTAGCAGCTCCAGCACCTCCAGCACTAGTAGCACCTCCAGGACTAAGAGCTCCAGAACCTCCAGCACTAGTAGCACCTCCAGGACTAGGAGCTCCGGCACCTCCAGCACCAGCAACACCTCCAGTACCTCCAGGACTAGCAGCTCCAGCACCTCTAGCACCAGCAGCACCTCTAGTACCTCCAGTACCAGCAGCACCTCCAGTACCTCCAGCAGTACCTCCAGTACCAGCAGTACCTCCAGCACCAGCAGCACCTCCAGCACCTCCAGAACCAGCAGCACCTCCAGTAGTACCTCCAGCCGGGTCACCCACAGCTCCACCACCACAAGGACTCGCAGCACCCCCAGAGTCAGCACCCCCAGTCGCAGCACCCCCAGAACCCTCACCCTCTGTCTCAGCACCCCCAGAACCCTCACCCCCAAGCTCAGCACCAGCAGTCTCAGCTCCAGAGTCCACAGCAGCAGGCTGCGGAGGTGGTGAAGACGGCCGAGGCGGAAAACCAGGGGGAGTCTCCAAGTGTGGAGAGTGGCGAGTGGTCGCCGTGTCGTCAGCGGCAGGGTCACCCCCCTCAGCGGGGCCAGAGGAGTCAGAAGAGATATCCAAAGGCTCAACGAAGGGGGGTGGGTCTACCTGAGACACACCTGAGGGAGCAGGGCCCTGTGGGGGGGAGGGGGTCTACCGGTGGGGGGACTGGTACCAGGAAGAGAGGTGCTAGGGGGACCGGGTGGGACGCGTGCGGGTGTAGCCTGTAGAAACAGACTGACTCGTCAAAGGTGACGTCTTGGGAGGAGAACACGCGGCGGTCGTGTGGGTAGTAGAACTGCCACGGCGGGGCGTCGGTGGGGAAGCCAAGGAAGACGCAGCGGAGAGTGCGAGAGCAGAGCTTGCTCGCTTTGGCATCGCGAACAAGGGAGAGTGCCCCCCAGACCCGAAACACCGACGCATCGCCAACCTTCCCCGTCCACCGGAGGGTGGGCGAGGTCTCTGGCTCAGAGACACGGGGCCAGAGGTTGAGCTGATGCACAGCGTATCGGACCGCAAACTGCCACAGAAAATGGGGAGCAGCCGCATGGATCATGGAGGTACGAACAACCTCCATGATCAAGCCAATGCAACGCTCAGCAATCCCATTATGCTGAGGAGAAGCCAGAAGCATGAACGTTTGGCAGATGCCCTCGTCTCGACAGAACTCCTCAAGGAGGCCAGAAGCCGTACCGCCCCTGTCAGAGTGCAGACGCAGGACTCGCAAGTCCCAACGAAACCACTCGCGCAACTGGCGACGAGTAGCACGGATCCAGGGGATCAAAACACCGTTGACGTCCACCTTGCGCCGCAAGGGGAAGACAGTAGTGTAGCGTGTGTAGTCGTCAACAACCAGCAGGAAGTAGCGCTCCTGGTCCGTTCCACCGACTGGGGCCGGGCCCCAAACGTCCGTGTGGAGAGTCTGCAGAGGAGCAGTGGTCGGAGGAAACTCGGAGGAGTGAGGAGCGGCGCGCTGTCGCCCCTCAACGCAGGGAAGGCACGGCGGTGCAGGCGAGCGTGGGAGGGCAGGCAGGGACCTAGGAAGCCCAGAGACAAGGAGACAGGAGTGCATGCTGCAGAGACGCGGCAGTGAGGGGTGACCGAGGCGGTGGTGCCAGAGGAGAGTCTGGTGGGAGAGTACCCGACACGAGCAAGACGCCGCAAGCTGACCAGACGCAGACACCTGACTCTACGCAACCACCTGACCTGACTCAGCCACCTGACCTGACTCAGCCACCTGTGCAGACGCAGTGGTCAGTGTGTACAGACTAGACCCAGGCCGTCGAGTGAACGTAGCTAGGTGACGGCCAGTCTGGGAGCACGTACAGATCACCACACGCTGCCCTTCAGGAATAAAGGTATCAACCCAGACATCCTGAATGGCAGCGTTGCTCATCAAGTTCGTAGAGAACGTGAGGAGGTGGAGACCTGATAGAGAACCGGAGGGGACTGCTGGACACAAGAGGACAGTGGAGGCTCGTGCGACTACCGGGCCCCTAGTGGGGTCAGCCAGTGAGACTGGTACCGGTGCAGCAAGAGGTGTGGGTGTGGTGCAGTCACGAAAGAAGCAACGTGACGCGCCTGAGTCAAGTATGAAAGTGTGCAAGGCATCAGCTGAAGCAGGACCTGTGGCGGTAGACGCACGAGCACCTAAAGCTGCAGCAGACTCACTAAGACCGAGTGCTAGCACCTAAAGCAACAGCCTCTACAGAACCAGTGACACATTGCTGAGAAACCAACTCACTGAGCAGCTGCGGGGAGAAGGTCTCCTGCTGACTCCACTGCCGCCTCTGTGCAGTAAGCAGAAAACCAAAGCCTACACCACATGGACGGGCTCGCTGCATAACCCACTCACGAAGCTGCTGAAGGGTGGGGTCGTCCGGGAGAGGCAGTGACCGCCGCTGTCCACCCCTAGCCGCTGCAACTGTCGTGATAGTGGCCATGACAGGCAGTGACGGTCAGTAGTAGGTCCAGCACCTCCAGCACCAGCAGCACCTCCACCACTCAGAGTCGCAGCTTCAGCACTTCCAGCACCAGCAGCACCTCCAGCACTCCCAGCAACACCTCCTCCATGAACAGCAGTAGCACGAGCAGCAGCAGAGCGGCTCGGTGGGGCTAGGCGGCAGCACCTCCAGCACTCCCAGCAGCACCTCCACCAGGAGCAGCAGTAGCACGAGCAGTAGGGCGGCTCGGGGTGGGCAGGGCGGCTCGGGGTGGGCAGGGAGGCTCGGGCTGGGCGGCGCGGCTCGGCCTAGGCGGCGCGGGCAGCAGGGCGCGCGCTGTGCAGGGCAGCAGGGCGCGACGTGCGGGCTGCAGCAGGGCGCGACGCGCAGGGCAGCAGGGCGCGACGCGCGGGCTGCAGCAGGGTGCGACGCGCGGGGCAGCAGAGCGCGATGCGCGGGCTGCCGTAGGGCGCGACGCGTGGAGCAGCCGAGCGCGACGCACGGGCTGCAGCAGGGCGCGACGTGCAGGGCAGCAGGGCGCGACGTGCGGGCTGCAGCAGGGCGCGACGCGTAGGGCAGTAGGGCGCGAACCCTGCAGACGCAACCCTGCAGACGGGGCGCGCTGGGGCAGGAGCTGCTCGCAGGCAGAAGGGGCGCGCAGGGCAGGGGCTGCTCACGGGTAGCAGGGGCGCTCGGGGCAGGGGCTGCTCGCGGGCAGCAGTGGCGCGCGGGGCAGGGGCTGTTCGCGGGCAGCAGGGGCACGCGGGGCAGGGGCTGCTCACGGGCAGCATCGGCGCTCGGGGCAGGGGCTGCTCACAGGCAGCAGTGGCGCGCGGGGCAGGGGCTGCTCTCGGGCAGCAGGGGCGCGCGTGACAGTAGGGCAGCGCGCTAAGGCAGGCAGTGCGAGTAGCTGCAGGGCAGCGTGACACTGTGCGAGAGGGCCGGACAGCGCAAGGGCGCTTCGGGCAGGAACTTAGCAAGACGATCGGTGGGCCCTAAAAACTTAACAGGTTTCCTTCGCTTCATGAGGATTTGAACCCGAGCCCTTCGCTTCGATACCATCTCAGAATCCCAACCACTAGCGCCCATAACTCTCCAGGCTAGCGAGCCTGCAACCTTTCCCTACGACCAGTCAAGCATCCACAGTGCTCATCTTTTGATGCTGTAGTATATGGTGGAGATCTCAGAATATGAACAGCGGGATGGAATGACTGGCAAGATGGGTGATACAAATTCCTACCCAAGAATGTGTTGTACTCCCTACAATGCTACTCACTATAGCCTAACATAACAATGCATAACATTGGACATGAGTGTGCAATGCAAACATTATGCAGCACTCCAAACATGCACCATATGGGCATAGTGCGACAATGTGTCCCCTCGCATGTGCTTGATGTGGCAATGTATGGTCATTAGTGATTTGATATCATGAGCTAGCTGTGGCCTTGCTACGTTTCACTAAGTAGTTGTACGTCTATGTTCCAACGCAACAACTCTTGGGCATTTTGCTTTGTAATGGACGCTTTGGCATGCTAAGAGCGTGTTCCTACACCTCTTATCAGGCAATCCTCTTGTCAGACTTGCCTAATACAATGCACGAAGGGTTTTGGGTTTACGCAAATTTCAGTGTGAATCGACACGAATCATAAGGGGCCGTAGGAACACAACCTAACCATAATAAAGAACTGCAATACAGGGTTGAGCAAGCACCATAGTCGTTGCAATCCTCAAATCACCTACCCTCTAATAAGACTCTCTCTTTGCTTCCAAGATAAGTAGACCCTAGAGCAACTGCACTTCTCCCCTCACAACATCAGCATCCCCAGCTTCAATCTGGTGCTTGGGCCTCCTCATACACATACAAGTATTGCCTCTTACTCCACATCATGGCCCCAATTAGTGCCAGTAGCATCACCAGCATCACACTGCATACCACCGCTATGGCTATTGTGCCACCACTGCCCCCGCTGCTGCTGCTGCTACTGCCATTTTTGCTGGCAGGAGTGGCAGCAAAGGGCTGCAACCAGAGGGGAGAACGTGCATTGGGCGAGGAACGAGGTAAGATGAGAGGTCAGTGACTGGAGAGAACTGCACAAGGAGGGCAATAGATTGAAGTAGTGGGGCAATCTAAGTGGCATACCATAGGTGGGACAATCAAGCTGGTTTGACATGCATGGAGAATACAGTCTGTCTATCACTCCCCACACCTTGGAATTCCACCTAGACTCAGGATCTCTGAAAAGTGTCCCAAGAATTTCACACCTTTCTATGCTCTTCCTGGCACCGCTTCCTACTCCTCCTGGCACTGCTTCCTACTCCCCCCTATCATCACCTACCACCTTTTCAATCATACTCCTGCATGAAACCCTTACCTGATCAGCCGCTGACGGCTGTGATGGAGCAGAAACAGCGGCACTATCAGTGCTTCTATTGCTGTTACTGCTACTGCTGTTGTTGCTGCTGTTCTCTCCAATGGCGGCTGTGTCTCCTCCAGCAGTGGCAGCAGGGTCAGCTGGTCGCAGCAACGGTGTCCCTTGTGTCAAGTTAAGCCGTGGCTGCTGCTGCTCCACCCACTCCCCCACAGGCTGACGAGGGGCCAGGGAAGAAAGGAGGGGAGACGGAGTTGACAGAGGGATGAGCGAGCATGCAGTAAGCATGAACAACATCAGCAGAAGCAGCGGCAGCGACAGCACCCAGCGCCAGCATCAGCAACAACAGCACCAAGTACAGCAGCAGCAGCAGAAGTGCCACCAGCGGCAGCAGCATGAGTGGCGTACCATCCAGGGGGGCCTGCGAATTGCACGAGCGAGTAGCGTGGCAACGCTTGCACCTTGCTGTGCTCGCCCGAGTCGGAGTCAAAGTGCACGTGCCCCGTGGCTCCCAGGAAGGACACGCAGTCAGAAGGGGGGTCATTGAAGCAGGCAAGTAGGTGCAAGGCCAACAGGGACGCGCCTAGCAGGTGGACACAGGGAAGATGGTGTAAAGAAGGGACGAACGCAGGGAATCAGCTTGAGAGGGAGAGGAGAGAAGTGGAGGTGGAGGGACTAGGGGCTGTATGGGAAAGAATGGTTGAGTGGCTCATTGGGACCCATTTTGTGAAAAGCTTACGTAGCACTAGCTCACTGTGTGTCAGTTTTCCGAGCAGCTATAAGGTGCGGGACGAAGGGCCGGGGGGTGGAGAAGCGCGGGGAGGCCTCGAAGGTGAGCAGGCACGGGAATGCAGCGTATGACTACTACTGCCATTACGACTTGAGCAGGGCAAATGGCTGCTCGCCTAAGGGTTCGGTAGCTATAGAAGAGGAGGAGAGAGCAGTGGGGAGAGTGAGGGGTTGCGGAGGAGGGGAGGGGGTTAGGCGACGATGGTCTGAAAGGGGGCAGATAGGAGACAGTTGCGGAGGGGATATCACCAACTTCACTCGACTATACAGGGGCGCAGTAGAGGGTGCAGCAGAGGGCACAGCGAGTGCCCATCAGAGGGCGCATTTACCCACCTTAAGGCACGAGCGCGAGTTCGTTGACCATGTGCTTGGCTAGCATCTCCTCGCCTGAATGCGACACTGCATCCATTAGGTCCGTGCCGAGATACCACCACGGGTACTTCAGCAGGTTTTGGTGGGGTCACGGTGCGGGGACGAGCAGAGGAGAGGATCAAGAGGAGACGATAGCAGGCACGAGCGGATACATGAGAGGAGCGGATACAATGCAACACCCCAGTTGCAACGCAACACAACACTTCCCGCACTGCCAGCCCTACTGAGTCTGACCGTCATGCCTGCTTCAAAACCGCCAACCACCCCCCACTACCTAGGCAGAAAATGAGGCACGGGAGAGCACTTACGGGCTTGCTAGCGGCAGCCCGGAGGCAAGAGGCGGTTCTTGGCAGCACGGCGGGCACCACTCCCATATCCTCCGACCCCTTCATCCAGTCATCCGCTGCGGGGAATGCAGAGATACACTCTACAATCGTGGGAGCTAGACTACGGGGAAGGCACAGATTGTGTGAGTGATCGTAACATTCCTTAGCGTTTGCTCGCGTTCTCTTTACGCACACATTCACGGGAAGAATTGGCAAGAGTTTCACTAGCAAAAGTTGAGAAACAACCATGGTAGCAATAACAATGGCAAGAATGAATACATCACTGTCCAGCAACCTAGCAGGCAATCTGGTCAACGGCCAGCACAGCACGTTCGATAGTCTACCAGCGTTGCGTAGAGGCACCGAGCCAGCATTGCATAAGGGCGACCTGCCAACAGAGCAAGTCAGCAGCTTGCCAACGCTACACCAGGGCGGCTTGCCAACCCTACTGCAGAGCGGCCCGCCAACATTGCATCCGCAAGTGACAGTAGCGCATGTGGGAACCTACTTCGCAGGTGGTCGGCGACGGTGAGCACAATGTGCACTGTCACGCAGGTGCCGGGTCGGCCACGTGCTGACACTTGCGACTGAAGAGTCACGCGACCTCGGGATACCAGCCCGAAGTCGCTTTCGCCATCGCAGCCTCGACAAGCCTTGCATTCCTCCGCAGAACCTCGTCGAGGTGGTAACTTGGTCGACCGGATGTCACCCTCGACCTGGTCGACGACCTCCCTCGTCGGCCACTGCTCCTGTCAAGACAGGCCTGGTTGACGGACCCCTCCATCAACCACCTCGATCGGTCGCTACCATTGAGCTCCCATCTACGACAGCCGCTCACAAATCCTGTGCATAGTTCAATGACCACCCTCGTCGACCCGCCCGTTGAAATAGGCCGCCGGCTCCCGTCGACGGCGGCATCGCATCAGTCGCCCGCAGGTCGACCATCTTGTTGACCTGCACGCCCAAGTCGGCATCGACCTCAGCATTCGGTCGGCCGCACCTCCCACGCACCCGACCACGACGTCGTCTTTGCCCAAGCGAGAACGGAGCCAACACTCCATTCCCGTCAACAGGGGAGAAATACCCGGAGCAGTCTGCGGGGGGGGGGGGGGGGGGTGTGTTGGATGCGCACAGTGCGCACCTTCAGCTGGGGCTCTTGCGCCACCTGGGGGAATGGGGGAGGGGGGAAGAGGGGGAGGGAGGGTATGTGGAAAGGGGGAAAGAGGAAGGGTGAGGGAAAAGAGGAAGCAGATTGGGAGCGGCAGAGGGGAGAGCGGAGAAAGGATAGGGGAAAAGAGGGACAGGGTGGAAAACAAGGAACGCAGAGGGACACGTAAAATGCATAATGCACGCGTAGAATGCACACTCTTCTATCGGTAGCATGGCACCATCATAGTCGCGGTGCAATGCGGCAACGCAGCACCGAAGCAGTGGGCGCACTCACATCGTAGGCAAGCGCCTTGCCATAGGTCTTGGCGGAGTGGAACACGAGGAGATGCTTCCTCTGGAGCTGGTCCACCTGCGCGCTGCAGCACACATGGAGGAGGGTGGGTTGACGGCGGTACAGAGGAATGAAAAGGGGGAAGAGAGGGGAGGAGAGGTAGGGTGTATTAAGGTGGAGGGACAGTTGGAAGGGAGAGGATGTGGGTTCACGCGGTGGGGAGAGCGGCCGTATCGAGTATGGAAGTGAAGGGTGAGGGAGAAAAGGAAGGTGAAGTAGCATCGGTTTTTCTTCTTATAAGGTAACAAGGTGGCTTGAGCGACTAGAGGGCGACCTATAAAACCCAAAACTCAGCACAGCACTTCCGTAGTGCGGAAAAGGTCGGATACTCGGTGCGTTTCCGCAGCGCGACAGCCGTGGCAGCGAATGACACCATCAAGATCCCCGTGCACCCACAGCCGCTTCGCTGCACGCAGGCCCAACCATGCCCACCACGCCCTGCTTCACCAGCGCGTCTGCGCCAACTGCAGCACTCCATGCGATGCATTCGATGGCCTGGAAAGGGGGCTGTGAAGCCCGAGTAGTGGGTGGAGAGCACGTATAGCGCCACTTGCACAGCTGATACCCTGCGGTGGAGCGGTGGAACTGTGTAGAGGGATGAGGTCTGGACAGTGTCAGATGAAACAATTTAGTAGCGTTGCAAAACGCTGCCGCACCCTGCGAAGATCTAATCATGAAAGTGGTAACGGCGAGACGGGATGATAAGCCAAGGTTGAAGAAACAAAGCACAGAGTGAAATGACGCACCCTGTTGAAGGAAAGAGCGTAGCATATCGTAGCATTCACGAGCGAGATTGAGAGGGATCTCGAGGTTGCGCTCCTGCACAGAGAGCAGAAAGCCTAGCTTCACCACCACTTGTGCCACTGTCGGGGTTGGTGCGGCGCCTGGAGAGGGGGGCGCATTTTCCGCTGTGCTGATGCCACGGGGAAGAGTCATGAGGAGAACATGGGGGACTTAGCATCAAATTGTGATAGCAAAGGGTAGTGTTGCAACAAAGTGTGGTAGCATAGGGGTATTGTCTGCAATAGAGTATGGTTGCAATGGTTAGCTCACTAGGAAAAGGGTAGTGTCTCCTCAGTATCATCCTCTTCTTCCCATGCCATCAATGCTTTCTCAAGGTCCTCACCATCGTCCGCATTGTCCGACTGAGCTCACAATGTCTTCAACTCCTGCTCCAGCTTCAGCTCCCCGGCCGATCTGCTCCTCTCCCAATCTCATCGCTGGTAACACTTGTACGAGGTGTGCCCCCTTTTTCTATATCCTATGTAAATGGGAGCGTTGGAGCGATCTCGGTGCAGGTGCCTCACTATGGCGGTCTGCATTTATCACACCTCCTTTCCGCCATGCAATCTCTCCAAATGTGTCCCACTTCGCCACACTGATGACAGCGGCATGTTTCTGATGTACGGGAACGCCTCTGCTCCTCTTCATCTTGCCCCTCCGGCAGCCCGGACTGGTCTCATCCTCTTGCGTCTCCAGCTGGTGCTCCTGATTGTGTCAACGAAACACATCCCTCTACCTCAATATTTAACCGCATACACATGCAGCAACTTCACCCTCAGCCCTAGTGAGTACAGCTTGTTCCGCAGGTCCTTCACTATCTCCTCGTCTAAACAGTCTTTGAAACTGAAGTCCTCTCTTCGAGACATCTTATGTCATCCGCCAGCTCCAAGAACTGATACTAAAAAGACTCGATCATGCTCCTTCGAAGATCCTGAAACACCAGCATGCATAGAATGTCCTAGAATTTGTTCCTTCAGGCCCTCAAGAAAGTGATCCATCAATTCCTTGGGCCGCATCAGCTCCCTCTCACGCTGTCGTAGCAGTCCCGCTCGCTCCATTCGGTCATATGCCGAGGCAACACCTTGCAGCGACTTACCAGTCCCATCAGTACTTTCCCTTCTTTCCTCAGCTCAATTTTCTTTGTACTAGAGGTCGAGTTCTTTGTTATTTATCAATATTATTATTGAATATTATTGATCAATTTTCTTGTTAATCAATATTATTCAAGCCTGTGTTATCGGAGCTAGCAGATTTTGCCCACAAGGAATCTGTTTTCTTGTGGTGCAATCTATCTCTTCCTCTTGGCATTAGGTTAGGTCTTCCCAGTTTGAAATAAAAGGCCCAGCAGTTCCTTCTTCCTTTTCCAAGCTCAGTCCAGTAAGGGTGTGTTCCTACGCCTCGCAACAAGCGAACCTCATATCAAGCTCACACTGAAAAATACCCTAACCCCAAAATCCTTCGCTAGTTTTACCAGGCAAGTCTGATATGAGGTTGCCTGATATGAAGCATAGCAACATGCCCTAAGATTCGGGTTCTTGGTTGTATGCTAATCTACCCAAAAAAAAAAGGGGGTTTTATTTCCACACAAAAGTCGGATAGATCTATCTCGGAATACAGATGTACTTAGCTCCAACCTTCCCAGCACAGGCCTTGCCGTTGTAATCAGAAAACATGGCCGCTGCAGTGCTCATGGTGCCACCATACATGCTGTAAGCTCCAGAACATGTGAGCGATGGCGACACTGCCTTGGAGCGGCCCTTGTTGCACCGGCCAAGCTGAAACGACCAGTACTCCGCCCTGAGGCACACCTGGGGTAGCAAGATTGAGAAAGAGAGAGAAACGAAAAGTACAGCAGCATAATTTCAGAAAAGATAAACCTCAGATGCTGGGAAAAGTGGCAAGGTGCGAGAAATTTCCTGTTCTAAGAATGTCAACTTTGACTACATATACTCAACTTAATGACTCACTTGAGTGACTATCTTAATATCCCCTCTTTGTTCTGCAGCTTTCCATCTCTCCACCTCGCACCCGCACATCCCTCCCCTCTCCTTGTTCCCACTCTCCGTTTCACCCCTCACCTGCACACCAATGTTGCTGCCAACAGCAGAGGCAGAGCCAGGGACGGTGTTGGAGCAGACAAGGCCGGGGTTGTTGCGGTAGAGCTCAGCCCAGGAGGAGGGCTCGATTTGGTTTCCGGACCCTTTCAGCAGGTGCTCACACGTGTCTCGCTCTGTGAGGGTGGCGTACTTGACACACTCGGGGGTTGTGTAGGCATATGTCTCATTGCGCTCCACACAGAGGGAGCGGCCGGACTTGATGGTTTGGGTGCAGTCAAGGCCGGGGTTGAGAGCCATGAGATCATCCTTGGTTATACCCACTGATTCGCTAATCGATATGCATGTGTCGCTCTGGAGGGGGAGGGGATGGGCAGGGGCAGAGAGGGGATGAGAGGAGAGGGGGTGAGGCATGTGGTGTTGCCCTGTGGTGGTTGGGAGACGCGGGATGGTAACCGATGTGATTCTTTGCTCGGGGTGAGCGAGCGCAAGCTTGCATGCTGCACTAAGCCCGCGGATCGATGCTATGAGAATATGCGATGCCACCATGTCTGAAACTCCAGCACTCACACTCAGCGTGTAGAAGAAGGCAGTGCATGGAACCGCAGGGGTGTCAGCCATTTCAAGCACTGTGCCTATGGTCAGTGCTTTGCTGCAGCTGATGGTCTGTATGGGGAAGATGGGTATGGGGGAGAACGGGCATGGGGATGATGAAGCAGTAACACTGGCTCCAGCTCTCCAGTGCGTGCAGCAGCAACAATGGGTTCGATGGATGAACATGCCATTTCACATTCCCTTCACTCCAGTGCCTGCAAAGCTCCAACTCCCCCACCTTCCTTTTTGAGTCGACCCAGAGAGTTCCATGTGAAATTGTAACGAGGTGAATTTTGAGTCGACACAAAAAGTTCCATGTGACATTGAAACGAGGTGACTTTTAAGTCGACCCAAAAATATTCCATGTGACGTTGTAACGATATGACTTTTGAGTCGACTCAAAAAGTTCCAGCCAAGTGACCTTGTAATGAGATGACTCTTGGATCAACTCAAAAATCATGCCACTCCACATTCCCTTCACTCCTGTGCTTGCAAAGCTCCACCTCCCCTCACCTTTCCTCCCCCTTTCTTTCCCTGCCTTCCTATCCACATGACACACCCATAGAACTAATCGATTCCATCCAAGCATCTCCGTATTAGACAACAACAATCCTAACTTCCCCTTGGAAGCCCAACTTGTCGGCCCACACATGTTGGCCCTTCCATGCTGTCTGTTCCCTTGGCCTCACCGGGTTCTGCTCTGTGAACTGAGTGAAGGTGAGGCCCACGAGAGAATACACGTCCGCGCACTGCCAGTTGCTGCCACTCACAGCCATGCTGGTGACGGTTTCATTGACTGGGATGGAGAGGGAGAAAGAAAAGTGGAGCAAGGAAGGTTTGGGAGGGCGGAAGAAAGGGGACAATTGAGTTGGGCTGAAGTCTGCAAGATGGAAAAACACACGTGGCTATTCACGTTATTATGTGTTGATCTTCTTGTTCTAGCACATACGGAATGCATGGTGATGGCTATGGGAAACTAACGTAGTAGTGAGCCGTTTCTGAAAATTGAGCCTTGGCGATTTTGTGTGCGCTTGCTCCAAATGACAGGGAGCTCTCCTAAGTGCAAGGAGGCTGAAGGAGCATCACCTGGGTCGCAGGTGGGAAATCTGTCGATGGTTCGGCTGGGGACGTGGTTGGGAGGGCAGATGCAGGAGTAGGAGCCCTTGCCATCGTTGATGCATGTGCCCACGGCACAGGGGTTCTTGAAGTACGACCCACACACGTCCACTGCCATGCCGGGTAGAGGGGGATGATGGGGGGGATGAAGGCAAAAATCAAGTACGACCCACACACGTCCACTGTCGTGACAGGAAAGAGGGTGGAATAGGAGGATGAAGGGGGCCTGAAGGCAACGGAGTGCTTCAATCATGGCCCAGAAACGTCCACTGCCACAGTGCCATGAGTCGTAGAGGGGGCAAGCAGTGGGGCGTGTAGTGTAAAAGGTCAAATGTATTCAGCGATGTGTCAAGATCGATACTCCCCAGCACCCCTGTATCGATTCCACTTGCTATAAGCACTTTCGCCTCACATGAACAAGGGTCATTTGATGCACATGTCTCACAATGTGTCCATGGTTGGTGCATGTCTCACCATAGGCGCATGTCTCAGGGCGCATTCCTGGCTTCGTGTCAAGATGGGTTGGTGTCAACCTAGAACTTTGGAACTCACGCGATTGGCCAAAAAACCACAACTGGCCAATCACGTGGGTTTTGAAGTTCTAGGTTGACACCAACTCATTCATGACACGAAGCCAGGAATGCGCCCTCACCATAGGCGCATGTCTCACCATAGGCGCATGTCTTGCCATAACCATTAGTGGCCTCCACAAATGGCTGAGCGGTCTGAGAGGGGAGCGAGCAGGTGCATGAGTTGCTATCGGTCTTGGTGTTGGCCTTGCAGGTAAATCGGCCACACGGGTTCATGCTGGGCTGCAAGTCACCATCGCCCTTGTAACTCTTGCTGCCACATGGATCCTTCGGGACTGCACGGCACGAGGGGGGGAAAGGCGAAGGAAATCCATGGCGTAATGCTGAGAACAAACTAGGACAACACTTTGTTGAGTGAGAAAAAAGGTAGTGAAAGGCTGGGCTGTCCATCATCACAACAATCAGAGAGCTAAATCTTCTGTCGAGGTGAATTCGTTTTTGCTATCCAGGAATTTCCAAGTCTTGACAATGGGGTAGATGCCTCACTCACTCTTGACAATGGGGTAGATGCCAGGCAGCACGTTGATGCCGCACACACCATCCCCTCCTTGAATGTCCATGCGCATGTGCCCCCTGTCTCCCCACTCGACTCCCCACGAGTTGCGGATGATCCAAAACGGCGGAGCAATACGGTTTTCGCTCCCATCATTCCTTAAGACGAAGTAGCCAATGACTAGTACGACATGGTTCAGGTTGCCGGCATAGCACCCCGGGTCTTGGTACTTGAAGGTCTGGAAAGGGACAGAAGGGCCACAACCATGTGAATAACAGGCTGTGTCTTTAGTGCAGTTCTCTTCATTCTTGGATGGTGATATATTCACACATAAGCCTTTTACACACTTGAATTTGCACAGCACTCACCCCCTCATACAAGTGTGGTCCAGCACTCACCCCATCATATGTGGCGAAAGTGGCAGCAGAGGCTTCGATGTGAACCACCACTGGCTGCCGCTGCACTGCCAGCATGAGCCCCACATACCCCTTGAAGGCTGTGCGCTCAAATCCCTGAACTGGGTACGTTGCTTTCTGACGTTGTAAAGATCATGTGCAGATTGGGAGGTGGGTTCCAGTCAGACGGGGGACAAGGATATAAATGTAAAGATCGCATGGTAGGGAACATTCCTGCAAGCAACTGAGCGTTACAAAAATCTTCTGAAACATCGAAGTGATTGTCTATTGACCTCACGCCTTCACGTACAAAAGTGGACCGGCCGCGTCAACAACCTCTAGCATGCATCACGCAACTTCAAATATATTTATCTGGCATCATCACCTCCGTGCTTACCGATAAAACATAATCTCACAAACGTACCACGTTCCCTGTCATTGTCAGTCCTCCTTTGGGCAGAGAAAGCAGCTTCTCAAAGGCGTCAGTCGGGGAGCCTCCAGCGGTGCACTTGTCTGCTTGAGAGGTGAGCCCCATGGCTGCAAAGAGCGAGTCCACTGACAGCTGCGGCGCCTCTCCATTCGTTGCGATGCCGTATGCTGCTTCTATGCTCGCCACCACTGCATACGCCCAGCACGCATCTGAAGAAGTAATGGGGGAGAGGGCGGAAACTATGCATGACTGAAGAATGCTAAGAATGAGTAACGTTCACGTCAATCACTCACAGAGAAAACATTGACTGCTAGGCTGATCGGAATAGCACGCACAACTGTAGACTGCATATATCCAGGTGACGTGACTGGCACAGGCTAGCCAAGGATTCTGTGTTAAATTGCCAAGTGTAAGGGTTCTAAGGCATACTCAGCTGTTTCATCGTTCAGACACACCCTGCTGTTTCAGGATTGGGTTTTGCCAAGTGTGAAAGGTCGGTCACTTATCTGCCCTTTCTTGAGCAGGCCGCCCAGCTAGCAAACTGGACCCCAGAAAGAACAGTGGCACTCAATACCGGCATCTTTTGAATCGAGGCGCCTCAAGAATTGCCCCCCCGGGTGGCTTGGCATTAACAGCAGGATTACCTTGAAGCACCTTAAAATCCCCCCTGCACCTTCAGTCCAGCCCTCCTAGTCCCCTGGAGGCACTCACTGCAGTCGCCCTGGTTCTTGACGGGCCAGCCGAGGAAGGGCACGGAGTCCCAGGAGTGAAGGTCCCTGAAGACCCACGAGTCCTGCTTCCCTGCCGCCACTCGATAGTCCGCACTCACATAGCGCGGGAACGGGCTCGCCCGAACCGGCGCATACGTGTTCACAGTGAGACTCAGGCCCAAGGCTGAGTGGAGGAGAAGAACAAGTGGGGGGAATAACAAGTGGGGAGAAGAATAAGTGGAGAGTTGAACAAGTGGGGAGAAGAACAAGTGGGGGGAAGAACAAGTGGGTTGAAGAACAAGTGGGGGGAAGAATAAGTGGGGAGAAGAATAAGTGGAGAGTTGAACAAGTGGGGAGAAGAACAAGTGGGGGGAAGAACAAGTGGGGGGAAGAACAAGTGGGGGGAAGAATAAGCGGGGAGAAAATTAGTGGGGAGTTGCGCAAGTGGGGAGAAGAACAAGAGGGGGGAAGATTAAGCAGGGAGAAGGATAAGTGGGGAGTTGAAGAAGTGGGGAGAAGAACAAGTCGGGAGAGTGGCATGGCAGGAGGGATGTGGAAGAAGAACAGGGCGGATGTGAACCAGATGTGGTGCACATCTAGAAAGACGGGCAACGTGCATGATAGTAGAATGAAGCTAGTATCTGAAGAGGATCCAGAAGCTGCACAGCAGGAATGCTGGCAGATTGGTCGCAGATAGTGTCACTATTGTGGGCGTTATTATCAAGTAAGTGGACAGAAAACACTATTGCCGCAGAAAGGTCGACAGCAGGTAAAAGGCTTCCCATGAGAATCAGAACAGTACTGTTGCTTTATTACAACGAGAGACGGAGGAAGATTGAGAGGAGATGCCTTGCCTGGGTTGATGTTCACTGGCGCCCGTGGAAGAGGAACGTCTGTGGCAGGGAACCGAGACAGGGAACGAGAAATGGGGTGGGACATTCAAGGAAGAAGTTGAGACTCGAAGTAGTGGGCAGTCAGTTGCAGAGAGGAGCACTTGGTTGCCCAGCCCAGCACAAGTTTTTCAAAAGGCCAGAGTATATCAAGAGAGTTAGATGAAGTCACCCAGGAATTACGCAGGGAAGAGCTCAGCTGCAAGGTTGAGGAAAAGGGAGGGGGATGGTAATGGAAGGGAAGGAGCATCGGGTTTGTGGGTAAGAGCTGGGGGCCCTGGGGGCTGAGAGCAGGCTCACTTGCCCTTATTCAATTCATTGGTACTCCAGTTGGCTGGCCAAATAGAGGTCACCAGCTTGCACAGTAATTGGTGATTGTGTGAAATTATAGCAATAGGTGGCGCCACAAGGTTAACCACCACCAACATCACCACCACCATTTTTATCGTCACCATGAGCACCATCATCCTCACCACTATCATTCTTATCATCATCATCATCACCACCACCACCACCATCACCATCATCATCATCATCATCATCATCATCATCATCATCATCATCATCATCATCATCATCATCATCATCATCATCATCATCATCATCTTCATCATCATCATCATCATCATCATCATCATCATCATCATCATCATCATCATCATCATCATCATCATCATCACCACCACCATCATCATCATCATCATCATCATCATCATCATCATCATCATCATCATCATCATCATCATCATCATCATCATCATCATCATCATCATCATCATCATCAGCAGCATCAGCATCACCATCACCATCACCATCAACATCACCACCACAATCGCCATCACCACCACCAAAACCATCACAATCACTTTCACCATCACCATCACCATCACCATTACCATCACCATCACCATCACCATTACCATTACCATTACCATCAACATCACCATCACCATTACCATTACCATTACCATCACCATCACCATCACCACATAGCAACCACCAAAGCTCCACCACACCTGTGCGCAGAGCAGAGCGCAGGACCGTGTGGATCATGAATGGCTTAGTGGAGGTGGCGGCCACGAAGCCAAAGAAGAACGCCCGGGGTCGCTGATTCTGCACCTGCTCCGGCTGAGGTGGCCCCGGCTGCAGCACCTCACACAGCGACAGGCGCCTCTCCAGGAGCGCCTTGGCGGGCTTGACTGCTGTATTGGCGAGAAAGACCTGGATGGTGCCGGGATCGCCAGGCTGGTAATCCACCCATGCCGTGTATGCCTGCTTGTTGGCCAGCATAAATGGGGATTTCACAGCAGCCAAGGACTTGTCCTGCCCGTTGATATTCAGTCCCACGTGCTGCTCTTTCATGTCGCCGTGCGGCTTGTTCTGAAGCACGTCAAACTCGATCGCCATGCTGCGGCTGTTCATCCCGCCATACCCCACTCCATCGCTGCTCCCCACCGTGCTTGTTGCAGACACCACAAACGCAAACCCGTTGGACACTGCCTTGCCTTTGGGTGAAAGGGCAAAGGTGAAGTTGACGGTAAAGGCCAGCTCGAATCCGCAACCGGGATCCTCCCGCCCTTTCTCGTACACAAACAGGGGCACCGCCTCGCTGGTGAACATCCCCCTTGCTTCCTTCCTGGTCCCCGCAATGAGCACGGTTGATGGGGGGAGAATATCCCTGTCCAGCGGAGAGGCAATAACCGTTTCTGCATCAGAGTGATGGAAGGAAGAAGAGAATCGGAGGAGAATGAAGCATGGCCGGGTTAGGTGGGTGGGTATCGACAAGAAGCTGCAATGGTTAGAAGCCGCAATTTCAGTGATTTTGAGGGGAAAATAAGATCATGGTTAGAAGCAGCAATTTCAGTGATTTGGAGGGAAAAATAAGCACATGGTTAGAAGTAGCAATTTCAGTGATTTTGAAGGAAAAATAATCACATGGCTAGAAGCAGCAATTTCAGTGATTTTTAGGAAAAAATAAGCACATGGCTAGAAGCAGCAATTTCAGTGATTTTGAGGGGAAAATGAGCACATGGTTAGAAGCAGCAATTTCATTGATTTTGAGGGAAAAATAAGATCATGGTTAGAAGCAGCAATTTCAGTGATTTTGAAGGAAAAATAAGCACATGGTTAGAAGCAGCAATTTCAGTGATTTTGAGGGAAAAATAAGCACATGGTTAGAAGCAGCAGTTTCAGTGATTTTGAGGGAAAAATAAGCACATGGTTAGAAGCAGCAACTTCAGTGATTTTGAGGGAAAAATAAGATCATGGTTAGAAGCAGCAATTTCAGTGATTTTGAGGGAAAAATAAGCACATGTTTAGAAGCAGCAACTTCAGTGATTTTGAGGGAAAGACCTCTAGATGAAACTAGCTCATAAAAAGTACGGACACAGCTTCTCCTTACACAAACACGTGCACCTTCATAACAACCTCTGCGTTGCTCCACACTGAAAACCGGCATTCCTGCACCTTCCCTCTTCATTACCTTCCACAAGACAGTACACCGCGCGAAACCTGTAGAACCCCTCGTTGCACAAGCAGGTTGGCGCCAAGCTAGGCCCATCTGGGTAGCACACCCCATGGCCGCCACAAGCGGAAGAACCAGAAGTCATGGAGATTCCACAGAACGCCCGGCAGGCTGACTTGGGCCGCTGCTCCGCTGAGGTATCCCCAGCAGGCATTAAGAAGCAGTTGGCACCCAGAGAGTCCCACGCATCCTCCGGGCGAGGGCCTGAGAGGTAGTTGTAGGAGAAATCAGCATTCACCCCTGCGGGCTTCACTGGGTCGCCCGTGAGGTAGTTGTGTGAGAGGTCACTGCAGGGGAGAGAAGGCAGGAGGGGGACAGCACAGTGAGTTTACATACTGTCGGTTTATTTCAGATCCCAAGGTGGATGTTGGCGTGATATGATGCCGGAGAAGGGCTATTTTGCACATTAACCTGGCACTATGCACTTGGCGAGCGTGTGCCAGCGTGTGTGCATGCATGCATGCGTGCGTGTGTGTGCGTATGTGTGTGCATGCATGCGTGCGTGCGTGTGCGTGCATGCATGCGTGCGTGTGCATGCATGTGTGCATGGGTGTGTGTGTGTGTGTGAAAATGTGTGCATAGGAACATGGCGGCCACAGACCGAAGCATCATGCTTTGAATAGCCCTGAGACGATCAGCATGTAATTGACCAATTTCCCCGTATCCTAATCCTGTACCAGTTTCTGGATGATAGGCTGCTCCAAAAACGACTGATCATAACTTTATATCTTTTCCTGCACTATATTGGACCAGCCTTACACCAATCTTGTACCAGCCTGCACCAGCTTTGCGCCAGCCTTGCACTACCCTTGCACCAGCCTTGCACAACCCCGCACCAGCCTTGCACCATCCTTGCACTACCCTTGCACCAGCCACTGTGCAATGTGTCTCACTAAGTCTGGAGGTTGGTCAGCAAGGTGATTGTGTCCGGTATGCGTCCAAAGAATTGGTTGTAGGAGAGAGACCTAACCGACATTACAGTGATGTATTGGTGCACAGGGGGGGGACATGGAAAATATAGAGTTTAGGCAGGTGCAGTATGTGCTAAGACATAGAAGAAGAGAGGAGGAGGTACGTATATGATATCTTTTACGGTTGCCTTCCAAGGATTGATGGCACTATGCTTAGGGAGCAATAAAAGCATAGGCTTACGATGCCGGAAATATTTTGGGCTGAGAATGCAATCAGCATCTAAAAAAAAAAAAAAAACAAACACACACACACACACACACACACACACACACACACACAGAAAAAAAAAAAAAAAAAAAAAAACATTGGTCACATCACATAGTTACTACTCACAGTTGCAAAACGTTGGAAAGGTCGCCGATGGTGGAAGGAATAGTTCCATTGAGCTTGTTCATGTAGAGCCACCTGCACATGCATGCATGAATGTCTTGCACTATGACAAAGTGACAACAGAGATGACAAGACAACCACGGCGGCACGGCAGCATGGTCCCGCTCAGCATGCCGTGCTCGCATGTATGTCATAACGTTTGGGCGCTTTGGCTAGTGCATCCTCACTTGCCAGTTGTGACGTTTAATTTTCATGGCTAAGTTGCACCTACGTACGGCTGACATGCAGCTCATGGGACCTGGACTGGTGACTGGTCTGTAGAGCGGCAGGAAGATGAGGTAAGGGCAGTGTGGTATTATGGATACGCTCCATGCACGCATGTGTGTTTGTCTCACAGTTCCTGAAGATTCACGAGGGTGAAGAGGCTGCTTGGCATGCTTCCCCCAAGCTCGTTCTCACTTAGATCTCTGCGATCCCACCAGTTGGGAGAAAGCAGGGGCGCAGCACAGGATAGACTGGTCAGTTTGCATCTGATGTTATATAGCCCACTCTGCTTGCAATGAGAGAACAAAACCGTACACACAATGTGAACTTGTAGCCTAAACGAGAGAGCTCTGCGGATGCTGGTAAGGAAGGAGACCAAAGCTGTACACGCAAGCAATCAGTCTCCCATTCCTCACAAGTCTCGTTAAAGCACGAACTTACAAGTAATTGAGAGCAACCAAGGAGCCTAGCTCAGCTGGGAGAGACCCTGACAGTTTGTTAATGCGTAAGTAGCTGGGAAGGGAGGGGACACCGGGGAGGTTGGGTACAGCAGGCAGGGTGCAGAGTGGAGAAAGGGCGAATGATAGGGTGTATGAGAGTGGTGACTCGCCGTAACATAAATGAGATCGACAGGCAGTCAAGAGATTAGTTTGGGTGAAGGTGGCAATCGGAGCAACTATCTGTGCACCATTTGTTTGTTCAGGAACATACAGTGAAGTGCAGACTGTGGAAACAATATGAGGAGCAGCAACAGACAGAGGAAAAGTAGCAGCAACAGCAGAAGCAGCAGGAGGAGGAGAACGGGGAGGGGAGGAGGAGGAGAGGGAGGAGGAGGAGGGGGAGGAGGAGGAGGAGGAGGAGGAGGAGGAGGAGGAGGAGGAGGAGGAGGAGGAGGAGGAGGAGGAGGAGGAGGAGGAGGAGGAGGAGGAGGAGGAAGAGGAGGAGGAGGATGAACGAGCATGATCAGGGGGAGGACGAGGGTAGCAGGACGAGCAGCAAGAAAGGGAGAGGAGAGGTGACGGAAGAGGCAAGGGACGCACAGAGGCACTCACAGGGTGTTAAGATTTGTCAGGTCACCGAGGGATGCAGGGATGGGGCCAGAGAGCTGGTTGTCAGACAGGTCCCTGGAGGGTGATGGATGGGCAGATTGATGGACTCATGAGATCTTATTGTAGCAGAGGACCAGTGGCATAGGGTTGGAAACTACATTGAACAGACTGAACTGGTGAGAGAAAGAAGGTGTGAATACCACATTCATCAAGAGGGTGGAGATGAAAATCAGAAGAAGGAGCAGAGACAGGCAGAGCGAAAGCTGCAAGGAAACAGCCGTGGAACAGGTGGTGAGGTTATGGGAAAGTTGGTGGTTTGAAGGGTCTGTCTGTGAGAGAGGGGAGCTGTCTCTGCTTACAGATAGGTTAGTGCAGTCAAGCTACCCAAGGACTGAGGAATGGGTCCCGTGTGTTTGTTTTTCCTGAGGTCGCTGTGGGATTATGAATGAGCACGGTGGGCAGGAATACAGGAGATAGAGGCAGGATGCAAGCGGGTGACGGGTAGGAAGGCTTACAGGCAGGCAAAGGGGTGCGTGAGCAGGCAGAGAGGGAGGGAGGGAGGGTTAAAGCACACAGAAAGGCAAACATGGAAAATAAAGTTCAACAAATGGTGTGCAGGTGATTCAAAGCAAGGCTCAGAAGTCCAGGTGATCCCACTTCTGCGAAGACAGTATGTCATTCTCGTCACAACGAGCACCAAAGGCATGTTACTCGCACTGCTTCCCACATGTGAACACAGAGTATTCGTCAGGCAGGCTGTTTTGAAAGGCAAAGGTGAATATTTCTCGAGCCTTGGCTCAAAAATGAGGTGCCGAATGGAAGCTGCTCAAGCTTCGAGCATGACTGGCCACAGATGGAGCGGTTCGTGATGAGCTGATGAGCTGAGGTGATTCTTGATGAGCTAAGGCGCCTGGTTCCTGATGTGTTGAGGCATATCTGTCTGTTGTGCATGGTTCCCCTTCGCCTCCTCAGCCCTTCGCTTGCTCAATCATTTGGCCTTTGACTGATTGTCTCATCTCAGCGAGCCACCATGCATCCCGAGGCTTGTCGAGCAGACTCGAGAGAAGCTGGCCTGACAAAGGCCTGACATCGCTTCGTCTGCGCATACCTGACAACATACAGCTGCACTGTGCACGAAGCTGAATCTCACATAGCGGAAATCTCTCGAAACGGTGGTAGATCCACTCACAGAGACACGAGATTGGTGAGGAGAGCGATCTGAGAAGGGATGGCTCCACTCATGTTGCACGCACTCACAGTTCTAAAAACATTGGTCGAGGTGATGTGGGTGGAGCAAAGGTCGAGTAGGCAATAATGGATGAAAAACAGGGTAAAAATGGCCGACAAAACCTGAGAATCAGGACAGCGAATTGCAAAACACCCATGGAAAAATTGCACTTTCAGATCAAGAAAGGTTTTGATTGCAGTGGTACACACATAGAGGGTGGTAGAGCAGAGTGGGCGCATGTCTCTGCTTTCACGTACAAAGAGGTGAGGCCAGTTGCTCCCCCGATTTGAGTCGGTATGGGCCCTGACAGGGCCCTGTTGCTGAATAAATTTCTGAAGAGAAGAGACATGCGGGGCCGAATGAGCAGAGGGTGTTAGTTTTAGAAAGATGGAAAAATGGAAAGGGGGGGGGGGGGGGGGGGGGGGGGAGAGAGAGAGAGAGAGAGAGAGAGAGAGAGAGAGAGAGAGAGAGAGAGAGAGAGAGAGAGAGAGAGAGAGAGAGAGAAGGGACTAGCCTTCAGCCCTCTTCCCTCTGCCTTCAGCCCTCTACCATGAGTGCTTAAGGGTCCTTCTCGTCCCCTTTTCCTCATTATTCTGTTTGGCTCTCAAAATTATCTTAATGGTGCTATATTGCTGGACAAGAAGTCATTATCGTTGCAACTCTGGACAGCAGAAAGCACTGCCACCTCACATTTCGACAAGAGATGTAAGGCTCCCAATGCCTGATGGCAGGGACCCACCAACGTCCGCACCACGTATCTCACTGGCAAGGACAATGAATGGGAAGGAGAGAAAAGGGGTAGAACTAAAGCAGCAGAGGAGAGTAGAAGACAGTACAAGAGAAGAAAGTTCGAGTCAAGGCTTTTGGGGTTTTGAGGAACACAAAAAGGTGAGGTGAGGGGCCATGATGGATTGAAAGGTCATAGTTCCGTGATAATGTTTCACACGCTGCGGTATGGAATTCGGACGTGCTTCCCGTCCCATTGGCACAAGTGGTATCAGGGCGCGGTACAAAGTTGTTCAAGAGCTGTTCAAAACTTGGTCATCTTGAACAAAGTTTGGGTTACCCTGTTAATTAGAATACTACTGTACCAAGTTGTACCAACGTTAACAAAAAAGGGTGCACGTGTTGACCAGCCTGTTGACAAACGTGACTGAGTTTTTTAAACAGCACATTCGTCAACACGAATTTATTGTAACGCCTCGCTAGTACTAGGCAAGATGATTGACGAAGTGGATTTTCGCACGCCAATTATCTGTCGCCTCGCAGCGTATGCACACCAGGCAATTGTTTTTAACGTAGACTTAGATGCGGGCGAAAAGCTTACGGGAGTCACAAATTGCATCGATGTCGCAGTGCCGTCGACGGATCGTCACTTCCACAAAAAACTTTTCTTCGACAACATGTTCCAAAATGTTTTTGCTGACCAAAATGTCTTGACCAACCTCGCTTGAACCCTGTTCAAGCTCTTTTGAACGAGCTGTTCGTCATTTTCCATCTTGAACAGCTCTTGAACAACTTTGTACCGCACCGTCATTCTAGTTCAGTCAAATCAACTCTGAAGCACGTGCACAACTGATGGACAAGGTGTCACATGGTTGGTGTAGGTTTGCCATGCGGTTGTAAGACAAACCTCGCAGCTTTCAGAGGAGACATTCGCGGATTCGGACTTAAGCAGCGATGACTTGGAAAGCGAAGGTGACCTTTTTTTAGAAAGCGAAGGGGTACTTGGAAAGAAGTGAAGCGACAAGGGGGAGGAAAGAATGATGACATCATGGTAGATTGAGTAGATTACCATACTAGGAAGAAAGAAAAAGAGAGTGTCATGGTAAGAGGCGTACAGTAGCGTGAGCTTGCTGAGGTTGCTGATGGAGTTGGGAATGGGCCGCCCTACAGTCGTACTGGTCAACCCTGACCCTCCCTTCGACCTTGCCACTATTAGTCTCCTGCATCCACCACCGGCACACCAGAGGTTTGCAAGACAGCTAAGAATATGAATATTTTCAGTATCATGTTATAGGAATCATTTCTCAGTGCTCGGGGTGCTCACAAGACCGTGAGCATGCCGTCTTGGTTGCAGCGGAGGTAGGTGTACAGCGCGCACTTCCATTTTGTGGAGTCCGCCCAATCAACGTCGTCAATGGCCCACTCTTGCATGAATTGTGCTGTGCATGAAGAAGCGAAAAAAGAGGGGGAACAAGCATGGAAGGGACAGATGAGGGAATGAACAGGGGTGCGAAGGAGCCTCTTTGAAAGGAAAACCGCTTGTACATATTTTGTGCTATTTAGATGCACCCTGTGGGAGAAACATCAAAGGAACCACAGCCACTCCGAGATGCCGTGGTGGTGCCGGAATCTGGCGGCAAAGCACTTTATAGTTGTGCTACTACCTTGCGAGGATTGCATGACTAAATCGACCCTCGGAGGTGCAGCCGCCACGACCGTCACCATCATGGCAACAAGGAACAGCCACGACGCGGCTCGGAGTGAAGGCATCGGGCGTTGCTGCAGCTCTATTGACTGCAGTGGTACTAGGGGATGTGACCTTTGCCGCACCGATGTGGTGGAAGTATGAAAGTAGCGGCGAGAGAATGGAAGTACTCGTGGTGTGCATGTGTCTAAGTTTAGGAAGGAGATGCTCCGTCCCCAGGACTGCCCGGAGCTGGGAGGTTGGTTGGTTTGACGGTTGGGCCGAAGAGGTCGGTTAGGACAGATGTTTGTGAAAGCCTAGGTGTTTTATTCGAAACAGATTGTTTTCAGAGTTCATTTGTCAATCACCTCTGTAGATGTTTCCGCGAACTGTACCTTGGAGGGATCACAAGGAATCAGTTGAGCAAAAATCGCTCAAAAATCCTGCCGAGTTTAGTACCTCCTCTGACTCGCTCAATCACCGCCACCCACCCCCAGCCCTCCACCCCCCCCCCCCCAAGTCCACAACCCCATTCTTTTCCAACTTCCCCCATCCCCCCCACTCCAAGCCCCTCTAGGTGACTGAAGTGCTTTGCTCCCTATAAACAGAGTAGTTCTATCATTCTTTACCCTGGAAATTTATAAGCTCCGATATGGATTCTGGAAGGATCGTCCAAAGCACATCCACCTATTCTGTTTCACCACCGACAAACCACGCATCTTTCCCCTCGCGACTCCAGAAGCTGACGGCAACGTCGAGGTACAATCATTCTACTGTATATGTCATGGGATGAGAAGAAACCAGATCCCTATTATGAGCAAACCCGCACCCAAATACCATCAAAATTACATGCTTTACCCTAGAGACTACTACTTGGCTATTCCTTCAAGCCCACCAAAAATTGGGATATACATAAAAGAAATCACCAACACCACTCTTCCATAATTGATAGTCTTCATTTGGGGTATCTAATATCGTGTTTCGTTCATATATCACAATTCTTTATTCGATACAGCAACAAGCAGCCTGATAAGCGTAATTAATTTTACCTATGTAACAAATCATATATATATATATACACAACAATTATAAAACTAGACATGCCATTTTGTTTGTTGTCTTAATCGGCCTAAAATTAAAAACTTAGATTGATAACTTAATATGTGGACCTTCAAATCAATGTCATTATGCAAATCAATGCTTCATATGGAAGTCACGTTATTTGCAAGTAGAAATAATCCCAGAGGTGAAAAGTCTGATAAATACCAAATGGAGT